GGGGGGGGGGGGGGGGGGGGGGGGGGGGTGCATTTCCCTTAGAAGATCAGTCAACACAGACAATTCACAATTTGCTAAACCCCGCCCCCAAACAGCAATGGTTCTAATTGTAGCTTAGCATATTAGCTAACTACATTATTTTGAGGGGTTTATAACTTTTACTATAGTAGACATTTGAATTCGCCACAGGTTATGTTATTAAAAATATCATTTTAAATTACACTTTTACTACAATACTACACTATTTTAGGGCTAAATAGCTCGACCCTGCTGCTGCTTGATTCCAAAGCCTGCAACATGGACCATCAGCCGGATGCTGACTTTCTGCCTGGGACATGTGACTAGCTTTAGCATGTATGTAGCCATCGTGTGTGTATATAAGATTCTCTGATTGGGTTGTCATTTTAAAACTAACCAGCAACATTAAAAACTCTGCTGGAGACAGTTTTGAACCATTTCAAAAGCATTAGCGTCCACTACAACAGTTATCTGTCCCTGTAAAGTCATGTCAGGCAATATTAGGTACGACTTTGGTTCAGCAGACAAGGCTAGACTTTCTTATTGCCAAGTTATGGATTGCAGAATCCTCATTTGCACACTGAATGTCACGGTTTATGGGTTGAATATAGAATTTTAAATTATTTCTGTATGTTTACATCTTATGTACATCTAGCTCCCCTGTATTCAGTTTTTAGGAGAAATATTTCAATTTGTATTCCACAATGGACCAGTGTTTTTGTCTCAGGAATAAGATGGGTGTTGCTGCTCAGTTGAAGCAAACAGTAGTCTTGTCTGTCTTAAAAGTCAAGAAAAATGGGTGCAGGAAGTCTGTTCTCAGGGCACCCATTTTTCATTGTTGTGTCAAATAGACATGTTTATATAACTGTCTGGTGGAAAAAAATAAATCTTTGCTACAAAACGTTCATTAGAAAAGCTGTAATTTGTGCCTCACTATAAACCATTTCAGTATGTATAAAAAAAGGCATTTATGGGGAAGAAAAGCAGAGAAGATGGTAGCAATTAGGGAAAGGTTAAAAGTAATGATTAAGTACCATTTCTCAAACTTTAGCTTCAGCCTATGAATGCAACAAATTCACTCTCCAACCTTTCCACACAGCAGTCCTCTTGCCACTCAGTTCAATTTAATGTACATAAATAGGTTTTTATTTACAGTTCAGAAAAACTCCATTCATATAAAAATAGCACTGTACCTATGTACAAATTGAATCTTACGAATGGAAGTGAATTGTAGAGTGTACAATACACGGAAAGGATGCGAGTGTCAGAATTAAACCACTTACAGTTGATAGATAAAAGCTGCTTCACACATGGCAGACATTTGTTAGCATAGCAACAGACCTTCCCCAAACGGAATTCAAAGTTGTATTATTCAACAACAAAGATGCATCTTTAATTAAGGTCACTGAATTAAAGTCCCAATTTGCTCCACATTTTCAGTGACATGTTCCTCATGTCACTCATCTTCCTTTTAAATAGGGAGGGAAATGGAAAGATCCACTCCAGCTGTGCTGGATATGCGCTTTCTCAATTGAAGTTGAATTTAAAATTGAAGGGTCCGGAGCCGAATGGATTGAAACCCTGGAAGCCTCCATGGAAGTGCTGATGATGGTGACCCTGCTGGCTCTCCGGATCCAAGGGGTCCTCCCCGTGGTCAAACTTGGTTCTTTTCTCTAGAGAAAAAAAAAACCAAAAACCGATGACATGTCAGTACAGAACAATTTAACAAAATATAATATGTCCTTATTACGCTTTGCTTTTTTTAAAAGTATTATTTTTTTTATTAAGGCTGCTTAAGTAAAGTAAGTAAAACTACTCAGTGATCAATTTAGTTTGAGCTATTAGGTAATAGATAGTAAATAGTTTTTTGATATAGTCAAGTTAAACAAAATAGTAGATGTGTGATACTAGCATAGATAGGGTTGTTGGGTCCACCAGTGTTTTACAATGTATGGTTCTGTACGATGGTTTTGATAAAACCATTTTACTGAGATAAAAATGATGCCTGGTATAATAATGAAGGTCTTAAGCTCCTTGGACAAAATAGCAAGCAGTAAGCTGTTCACAGCGGCTCCTCAGAGGCCTGACATTTACTGGGAGACTGGCAGGGAGTCTGGCAGTAACAACTTTCCACTGACTTCGCAGAACACACACTCTTTACCTGGGTCAGTGAGAACCTCTTTAGCCTGAGCGATGTCTATGAACTTCTTCTCAGCCTTCTTCTTTTCCTCTGCATCCTGATAATTGTCAGGATGCCACTGTTGTGCCAGTTTCCTGTAGGCTTTGATAATCTCCTTTTTCTGGGCAGTTCTGTCACAACGGGGAGACCATTATCAGCACATTCATTAAAAAGGCAAAAACTGCTTCCCTTCCCTTCTTTTCAACATAAGCTGGACCTAATAAGACCCATCCAAGTGTCAGGGTTACCACATACACACAAATAAACAACAACATATTATACACTTTCTATAGCTAAAAGTGCTTTCATTGTCTTAAAATGTATTCTGTCTGGGTCAATAGTACTTTTGAACACAAAAATGTTCAAAATGGATAAATTATGTGGCTCTTTTATGGTGCAGTGGTTGTTCCACACAATATCAAAGCAAAAGCAAATAACTTGATGCTGATAGAGTCTTATACATCAGCCCATTTGTAAAGGAATACCCAAATTCTTCTTGATTTTGCCTGATGAATCTATAAAATTCCCTGTCTGGAATACACTTATATATAGACAAAAACCTGTGATCAGTTCCCACCTCTTCACTCCGAGGATCTTATAATAATCTCTCCGCTGAGACTGTTTGAGGAGTCGCTGAGCTCTCTCCAGGCCTTCTTTTATCTGACGGTCATTCTCACTGTGTTTTGCGGCAGTCTCATAGTCCTTAATAGCTGGGGGAAAAAAATGCAGGAGAAAAATCAGTATTGCTCACTCATCCAAAGCAGCTAATGGGAAGTGAAGCACGGTAGTAAAAGACAGTCCTAGGGTGGTTGAGCAAGGCACTGAATGCTCTGCTCCAATTAGATGATGACCCAAACAAAAGACGCACAAGAATTCACATAGATCAGCTAACGATAACTGCATAATTTTTAAATCTGTGCCTTCATTTACTCAATTTAGCCATTGCGACGCCAACATTGCTGTGGGAAAAGTCTATATCGCGTTTCTGGATTCTCCACTTCCCAACATTGTGCGACATTTTCACTAATACAATAAATCATCAAAACAATAAAGAAGACACACATTTGCTGTACTTGGTGGCTGAGTTTGGATTAATATACATACGATTTTAGACATTGGCATTATATTTATAAATGTAAACATTTTAACACTTTAATGAATTCGCCCAAAGACTGATCTTCTTCTTTGTCTCCAGTGATCCGCGGTTGAGTCGACAGCCATGCTAGAAGCTCTGTGAGACTTACACAGTAGATCTTTAGGCTAAATGCTAACACATTTACAACAACAATGACAACATGCTGATGTTTAGCAGGTATAATGATTACCATTCTCACCTTCTTTGTTTAGCATACTAACAAACATACTAACATACTTGCTCATTAGCACTAAAGCGGAGCCTGATGGGAATGTCATTAGTTTAGTATTTAGTCACAAAGTTTTGGGCAAACTGAAATGTTTGACCTGATGACGGTGCTAGAAAAAAAAATTATTACCGAAGTGATTACAATTCATCCTGAGGGACCATGAACGTCGGAACAGACTGACATTGCCATCTTTACAGGGATACTGCTAGCATGGCTAAAAATTAATTAGGCTACTATATTTGATAGATAAGATAAATAACACCACTTAAAAAGGACCAGTGTGTAAGGTTTACTGGTAAACAGAAACCCCCTGACTCAACCAAGCATGGAGGAGAAACTACGGTGGCTGCGAGAGGCCCTATTTAGAGCCAGTGTTTGGTTTGTTCGTCCTGGGCTACTGTAGAAAAAATGGTGGTTCAACATGGCCGCCTCTGTGGAAGTGGACCCGCCCACTCTGTAGATTCTAGAGTAACGAAAATACAATGATTCTTGTAATCAGGTGATTACACACTAATGGAAACAGCTATGGATATTGACAGAGCACATTTGAATCAACTGTTAGGGCTTTCTGAGACTGTTGTATTAGAGATGTGACACAATCAAAAACATGTACAAAAAGCCCTGGCTGAAAATAACTTGCATTTAAAAAAAATAATAATAATGTTGCCGAAATCGTTGGTATTGACTTTTTTCAAATCTCCATCACTATAGCAAGCCTTATGACCTACATAGTATTATTTAACTTGTGTCGTAGTAATCCCATCTCTGAAAATGCTTGATCTTGTACTATTAAATAAACCACTTTATTCATTAAGTAAGCCCCATCACCTTCAGATCATGTTGCAGCCGCTCCAGTCTGTTTGGGTGCTTTGAAGCTTGTTTACCCTGTGAGGTGTACTGAGGTGAATTTAACACCCGTGGGCCCTGACAGTTTAAAAGCCCACATGAGGTCTGGACTTCCCACATGCTGTTGTGTTCATGCCATGTTAATGACAACATGCACAGCCTCAGATCAGCCAGCATCTTCAGCAGTTGATGTTATTACTCTGGGGCTTACCGGCCTGCAGTGATGTTAATTGTGGGCTTAATTGGTCGTTAGTGTAGGTTTTATTTTTATTTGTTTAAATAAAACATGTTAGGGCCTTGTTTTCCATCTAAATTAAAGATTAAAACCACATTTGTTGATTCTACACAATTATGGACATGATGTGTAACATTAAGGCAGTTTGGAAATTCTATGAAGTAAATGAAAACTGCCGTGGAGCTTTAATCCATCTCCTTTATCTTTTTTATAGCTGCTATTTTCTTTGCGTGCGTGTTGACTTTTACACTTCTATGA